TACAAGCAGCATCAACCAACAACAACGACCGACAAACAAAAACTGAAACACAGTATATAAATACACAAGCAGACAAGCTAAAGATAACAAGGGGACGTGGTTAATCCGAGACACCTGGGGAGACTAATCAACAAGACAAGGAACACCTGTCGACAATAAGCAAACAAATAACAAAATGACAAGACACATGGCAGCAGGGACGTGGACAGGAATCTTTAGGGGCAGTTGCTCTGACCTGAAAAAAGGGCCTACGTGAAATTCTGCATCCATTGTACGATTTTTTTATTTATTTTTTTCTCGGAAGGGGAACCTGAGCAACCCCCCTGTGCACGTCCCTGCATGGCAGGATCACATGACAAACAGGGAATCACGTGACAGACAAGACCCACACCGTGACACTATTATTGCCACTTGCACTGCCTGCCACATGTTTAGCATAGCCTTCTCTGTCAGCGATGAGGGTTTCACATTTAATTTTATATTTAACAATATTATTACAACATTATTTTCCTGTTATCTCTTTAAAACTGCTTTGAAACAATCTGTATTGTAAAAAGCAATATATAAATAAAGGTGACTTGACTTGACATGTCAGAAATGCAGGGAAATAGACAGGCTGACAAAGATTTCAGAATTAGAGACACGCATCCAAACTTAAATCGACAATAGATTAAAGGGCTTTAGATACTGCTTTGGATGTGACTAGTTTAGCGAACCCCGTACATTGTTTTGTTCCATTTGTAGAGCATGTGCAGCAGGGCAACTGGGTGACTGCGAGATGGCATAGTCTTGGGACAAAACACAGCTTTTCCGTTCCAATTAGAACATCAAACAGGTTCTTCCCACTCAGTGACACACCCACTGAGAATCCTGTTGAAAGTGCTCTTGTTATTGGCGATTCTATTGTACAGAACGTGAAAATAGAGAGCCACCATATGCACATGTTTGCTGCAAGCCAGAGCGCCTGACATCAAAGCAAATATATAAGTGCTGGCTAATGCTAGTCGTAAATACTCTAAGATCATTATTCACACTAGCACAAAAGATGTCCAACTTCGGAGATCACTAAAAATTAAATTAAAGAGGTGTGTATGACACTTGAATACACAAGTATTAAACTCGCAAGTACGATGTCAGACACTGTAATATGCTCTGGCCCCTTTCCTGTTTGCCGAAGTGATGATATAATCAGCAGATTGTCGTCATTCAATGGTGTGCTGTCTAAGTGGTGTCCACAGAATAATAAAGGGTTCATAGACAATTGGAGATGTTTTTGGGGCAGACCAGAACCTTGACTAACTGGGGCCCAGGTCAGCAAGCAGACAGACTGGCTAAACTGACGGTCTGCTAGCTGTCTCACTGTGTAAATACAAAAACCTCCCAAACCCATTTAACCCCCTGGGGTGGGCGGTCACGCCGGCGTGACCAGCTCGCTTTTTTTCTTATCAGTGCAAAAGAGACCCAAAATACTCTGTTGATTTAAATCTTAAATATAAGTGTTATACATCATTCGATCCTGTTAAGTGTCTATTTTTTGTGTATACTCACAATAAAAACAGTGTTGTGCTTTTTGTCAAATAAAGAAAAATAAACATGATGCGCGTTCTGCCATCTCTCTCAATGTGAAGTCCATTCTGAAACGCGTCCGAAAATGAACTGTAACTCAGCGAATACTCAGTCACACAGGCACACAGGCACAAAGCTTGAATTCTCTTCTTTTAAATAAAGTAATTTATATAGAAAACAAATATTCTCCATTTATGTAATCTGTATGAAAAGAGAGAGATGTCAGTGGTTCTCATTTCAGATCATTATAGCTCATTAAGTGCTAATGTGACCACGCCCACGGAGCGCGCGCTACGCAAATAATCTGAGGCAAGATGCAAACGTGTCAATGCCCACATCAACACGATAAAACACATCAAGTTTAATCAGACTCATGTACTTTACGATGCTGTGAGGAATAATACTATTGCAATAATAATCCTGGAAAATTTACCTCAGAAGTGCCAGTTTCGTTTCATTTCGAGGAGCAACGGATCCAGCTGAGGTGGAATAGTAAGTTCTTTATTCTTAAATGCTTTGTTCTAATTGTTTCAAAACAGTAATCCCCCCAAGATTACTGTTATAAACACGGGCCTCATTTGAAAGGCAAAGGTGATGTAAAAATTGCTGTAATTTATAATAATATAATACCCCATCCAATGTAAATTATAAATACAGTTTGACATTTGTGCTGGCTACTGTATACAGGCCACTCGGGCACCATACACATGCACTTTATCAAAGAATTTGCTGATTTTCTATCGGAGTTAGTACTGGCTGCAGATAAAGTCCTAATTTTTGGTGATTTTAATATCAATGTAGATAACGAAAAAGACGCATTGGGATTGGCATTTACAGACATACTGAACTCTAATGGAGTTAGAAAATACGTGTCAGGACCCACTCATTGTCGTAATCATACTTTAGATCTAATATTGTCACATGGAATCAATGTTGATGGCATTGAAATTCTGCAACAGAGCGATGACATGTCAGATCATTATCTCGTCTTGTGTAAGTCTTCAACTTCAGATTGAAGTTTTCCCATGACTTTATGAACTTCTTTAATTGCAAGATTAATAATATTAGAGAGAAAATTATAACCATGCAACTGTCTACTACAGTATTACATCAGACAGTGCATTGTAGTCTCCCTGAGGAAAAATTCCATTCACTCATTGCTATAGGAGAGGAAGAATTGTCTAAACTTGTTAAATCATCAAAATCAACATGTATGTTAGACCCTATACTGACTTAGCTACAGAAAGAGATGCTTCCAAAGGTCATAGATCCTCTTCTCGATATCATTAACTCATCTTTGTAATTAGGATACGAACCGAAAACCTGCTGGCTATTATTAAACCTCTTATTAAAAAAACACAAATTGATCCTAGAGAATTAGTGAATTACAGGCTGATCTCGAATCTACCTTTTCTGTCAAAAATACTAGAAAAGGCAGAATGGTATCTTCAGGGATTTTAGGATTTAGACCATATCATATCAATCGTGGTTGTATCTCTCAATTAGTGTTACTGAATCTTAGTGCTGCATTTAATACTATCGACCACAACATTCTTTTGAATAGAAAATTATTAGAAAATTATGTTGGCATTGGTGGAAATGCATTGGCATGGTTCAACCCCTAATTTTCTGATCGTTATCAGTTTGTAGCATTAAACGAAGAGACGTCTTACTGATCACAAGTTCAGTATGAAGTAGGGATCAGTACTAGGACCGTTGCTTTTTACCGTTGCAGTACTTGAGTGAGCTCTTAACACATTGTAGTCCTTTACATCTATTGCGATCTCAAATTTCTGGCCAGTTGATAATACCTAGAATATCAAAATCGACTGCAGGCTGTAGATCCTTTTTCCTATTTAGCACCAAAACTCTGGAACAGTCTTCCTAGCATTGTACGGGAAGCAGACACACACTGTCAGTTTAAATCTAGACTAAAAACACATCTCTTTAACCTGGCCTACACATAACACAATATAATTTTCTATCATTTAAATCAGTTAAATGATTGTTAGGCTGCATAAACTAGGTCAGCCGGAATCAGGAACACTTCCTATAACACCCGATGTACAGTACATGTTACATTGTAAGAAGAATGGCATCTCTACTAATATCATTCTCCCGGTTTATCCCGAGGTTACCGTAGTCAGCGGGATCCGGGCCAGATCCAGATCAGTGGGAGGACCTGCGCTTTGGCATGACCACAACTCAGCCTTCAGATTGTGCCAACTAGACTATCCACTGTGAAGGCCTCATTGACACCACAGCCAGTGGCACAAATCCTCAACAAAACCCATCTCCACACTGGCGTGATGAATCCGATCTTCAACCAGATGTAAATGGATTAAATAATTTGAATGTTCCGATCCCAAACTGACTTCTTACCTGTAATGCTGCCTGAATCATAATTATACACTGTTTGTTTGTTGGCCAGAGAACTGCCCCCCGACTAAGCCTGGTTTCTCCCGATGGGTTTTGGATTCCTTGTCACTGTCACCTCTGGCTTGCTTAGTTGGGGACACTTAATATTCAACAATATTATTGATCTGACTGCATTGACACCATTTTATGAGAACTGAACTGGATGATGACATCACTCTTTTCTCTAGAGCGGCTGTATAGATAAATGAACTAAATTAATAACTAATGATTTCTACAATCGAAATGAATCAACACTTAACTGACAATGCCACTTTCAGACTTTGTTCCCTGTGAAGTCTTGTTACTGCCACGGCGTGCAACTCTGAACAATCTTCCATATTTCTGTGTATTCCTGGTTCCTCGATTCTAGCCTGTTTCCCCCAATACTCTGTGAACGTTTGCCGCCTGCCTACGACCCTTGCCTGGTAACCACTCTGAGTTTGGACTGCCCCAGTATAGTTATCAGCCCTGTGCTTTCTCTGTTTACTGCCTGTTTGTGTTCTTCATTAAAGTTATTGCACATGGATTCGAACGCCTCTGACTCTTCATCACAGATGTATACTATGAGAAAATTTGTTTTTAGTTTTTTTTTTTTTTAGTTTTTTTTTTTACTTTGAACACATGTAAATCTGCGGTGATGGAGACTCCAAAACAGTAATCTTTAAAATAGCATAATAGGGGCACTTTAAGTAAATTTTGTGCTTTCTTTGAGCCAATACAGCAACGAAAGTACTACCTTTTATCAGTGTACATACATTATTAAGAAAGTTTTGTTACGACTTTTTCTACAACCTTGTGTAATGGGTCAATAAAAGGAGGGTTTATAAAGAAGTCAAGACAATACTTTACCAGTGGTTGTGATGGGTGGAGTAATGGATTCTGTAGGGGAGATTGTCTCTGTTGTTGTAGAGGCAGATGGGATGGACCGGTTTGAGGATTCTGGTATTAGGACCATTTTAAATCAACATCAATTTTCCAAACAAATGACTTAAATGCATGAGTAAATGCTCTCCTACCTAAACAGTAAGCTCCGCAAAATATTGGCTTGACAAACTCATAAACATAGTAATTTCCTGGACAGGCTTTGACTCTTATAGGGTGGGATTTGTAAGTACAGCAGCCGTTCCATGAGGAGACACAGACCTGACGGGTGACCACTCCATCTTCCAGCTGTGGGTGCGAGCCGTTGAGCCACAGTGGGGAACCAGTGCCACACGTGTACTGATTTACACATGATTCTGGCATCTGAGCTTTTTGTCCATTGTAGAACAGCCTGTACCAGCCATTCCACTCCACATTATAATCACACATGCCTAAGTTATGATGGTCAGTGGCTCTCCAAGGCTGATCCAGACTGGTATATTTGTAGCAGGGGTCGACACTTGGGGTGGTGAAAGATACTATTATGAAAGATTTGAAAGAGAGCATTATATACTGAAGATTAAATGCATCCAAGTAGAAGACAAAATTTAACAGGTCTGCACAGGTAATTATCATATGAAAATCTACAATACAATTCATGATAATTGTGACAAATACAAAGATGAATGAATATACCTGCACAATATACAGGAGCTGGGATTGAAAGAGTTGGTCTGGTAAATTTGTAGACATAATAATTTCCAGGACAAGCTTTGACTTGAATTGGGTCGGATCTGTAGCGACTGCACTGATCATGATAAGAGCCATAAATTTCACGAGTAACAACTCCATCTTCTAGCCGAGGATGAGAGCCACCAACATACAGAGAACTAAAACCTCCACATGACATGTAATTAAAACACCACTCAGGCATCTGAGCACTCGATCCATTAATGAAGAGTCGATACCAGCCATCCCATTCTACACGAGTGTCATCATGTCTATTTACATCTCCATTTTTATACCAGTAAATGGGTGTGCTTCTCCAGTAGTTGTCGAGTATGTTGTAGTTATTGCAAGAGTCTGTGTTAGTGAGAGATTAAAACAAATAACTAATTTCATCTAGGCAAATATGGTGATAAAAATATAGTAAGGTAGTTTAGCCATTTGTACTGTGCATGACATGCCTACGTAATATGATATGATATGTTCATGCATAAAAGATTCCATTTTTAAACTGTAATGCAGAATCATTACCAAAAAAAAGCTAATTCTGGATATTTTGAAGTTCTTATTCATATATGTTATTATATTTACTGCATACAACTTACTCAAGGTGATGTTGGATCCAGTGATTATATCTGGACTCACAGTGGAAACCACCTGTGAAATAGTGCTGACATCTAAAAAGAAGGAAATTCAAGACATGACTGAAATCATTTTTAAAAGGATTTAAATTCTTTGTTAATAAGTTGGAAAGCATAGTACCTGTACAGTATCCTGAACACCCAAATTGTGGATTCACAAGTTCATAGACATAGTAATTGCCTGGACACGCTTTCACTCTAATGGGTCTTGTCTTGTAATTACAGCAGCTTCCCCAATGATAACTACCACAGACCTCCCTGATCACCACTCCATCCTCTATCTGAGGGTGAGGATCATTGAGCCACAGATTTATGTTTGTATTACAGGTGAATGAACTAACACAGGTCTCTGACATCCGGATGTCCATTCCATAGTAGAAAAGCCGGTACCAGCCATTCCAGGAGAAAGAGTCATCACAAATGTTATCTCCACTTTCATTGTTGGCTCTCCAGGGACGATCCAGAGACTCATAGTTGTAGCAGGGATCACTGCTGATGCTTTGGAAAGCAACTGTCATGGACAAAAGGGATCTTTGTAAAACATACTGTATTTATATGGAAGACCATTTAGTTTTAGCCCTGACTACAGAGACACTGGGATAGGCTTCAGCATCTTCGTGACCTTATATAGGACAAGAGGTTTGGAGAATTTAGTGTTATATCCTAAAACTAAAATGATATTCTACAATTATATTCTACCCGGTGGTGTGCAGTAAAGCCCAAAAGAAAGCAAGAAATCACATCCCTGCAAAGTAACAGCTAAAAAGCTGTGCAAATAATCAAGCATTTTCTAACTGTGAATGCACTGTGGATGACTGTTTGGTATGACCATGTGCTCACATACAGTATGCATATGAAATGTTGAATGGTTTAAAAGTTGTGAGATTTGAGGAACTGTGTTACAAATAACAGAACTAGGGAAGTGTTAACAATGGGTGGTTCGTGAGGGGCAAACATAGTGTTCTGACGATTTGTGCTACATGCTCAGATTGTGCTACTTCCAATTAAAACAGATAGGTAGAACAATTCGATAGTGAAATATGCCAGATTGTACTACCATCAGCATATTCATGTGGTTTGAGGATTTATTGATGTCCACACCAACCCCTACCGTAAACCTACCCTTAAAACAATGCAAATATAGTGTTGGTAGTACAATCTGATAGGTAGCATTATTTGACAGAACAACAGAATGGCTGATGGACTGCAAACAACTGATTCTAACTTTTTTCCAGCTGATGAATGATAAAAACATTGACAACCAATTTGAATACTTTCGGCTTTAAAGGTGGGGTAAGCAGTATTTCTAAAACACTGTTGGACAATGTTGATATTTGAAATCAACCCAAACAAACACACCCCTCTCTTCAATGCTCCGCCTCCAAAACTCACACTCCGATCCTAACCGCCCTGCTCAGAGTCGGCCTTGAACCCTGATCCCACTTCATCATGCGAGTCGAATGCACTACCAATGACGCTAAACACCACATTCTCTAGCAATTGCCAAGGCGACTCACACTAACTGGCCTCCGTTACGCACGCAATCCAAGAGAGGATGTTTGTTTATCATAGCAGAAGCGCAACAAAATAATGCTTCACGAAAAATAAAGTGCAGATGATGAACGAATGACACAATAGTAATTACAAACAAGAGTTCGTTGTTAGTTGCCAACAGCACAGCAGCTCCAGACACACAATGACACTCAAAGCCAGTGTTACTCACGTGTGGAGCGAATCAAAGCAACATCCGTGTCTGTTTTCAGGCCTTCCCGCTTAGCTCTCTCCAGCGCGGGACAGCGTTTCTAATATTAACATGCGTCCTAAAGTTCTTGCCCAGTCATAATCCTTTATTTTCCAGTGATTTCTTCTGAGCTTTTCTCTTTTGTATTGTGTCTCATCTCATCTCTATTTCTGCAGTCTTTCAAATCTACCTCTTCCTCGTTCTCTCTCCTCCACCATCATACGCCCCCTAATGCTAATTGGCTACACACATTTGTTGTTGTGTCGGTCTGACTATCTTCCAAACAGCATTTTTCAAATACCGCTTACCCCACCTTTAAAGAGCTCAAGCATTTAAAGCGGCAGATGACATAACTGCTTCGCTTATAATAAACAGAACGATATTGTGCATTGGTGTGGATGCTAAAATGGTTTTCGTTATTGTTCTTGGTGTGAAAAGGTCTTTAAAATCGCACCTGCACAGTACATCGGCCCTGGAGCTGATACGATGGGTTTGACAAATTCATAGACGTAATAATCTCCTGGACAGGCTTTGACTCGGATGGATGAGGAACTGTAGTCGCCACACTCTAAGGAATACCCCCACAGCCATCTTGAATGAGTTCCCAGGACTCCACGGGTCACCACTCCATCCTCAAGTGTTGGATGAGAACTGTTGAGATGCAGAGCAGTTTGACCGCCACATCCAGCATTACTCACACACCACTCAGACATCTGGGCACTTTCTCCATTCAAGTACAGCCGATACCAGCCACTCCATTCAACAAGGGTGTCATCATATTCATGGTAATGGCTTTGCCGTATGTCTCTCCAGGATTCATCAAGAGTGTTATAATCATTGCATGGATCAGAGAGGGAAGTTGTAGGTTCTGAGAGAATAAAGACAAACAAACAACAGACAGACCTGTGATTATACATTCTCATTCACTGCACTCCAAAAAGTCATTTTCTTCCTCAGTATTTTCCTTATTCTCGCTGGGTTGTGCAATAGCACTTAGAACTCAGGGGTTAAACTGGACCAGCGTTGAGCCCCGGCACATGGCTTACGCTGGCAACTCAACAGTGGACTTTTCTTTTACATTTTCAACAATATACATGTAGCTATATTTTTAAACACCTTTCTCGTTCTTACTAATTCAAGCAATGATGCAAAAGCGTTACTGCCTATTATGGCGTTAAATAATGGACAATATAGTGAATTACAACAGTGTGAGCACAGTGACAAAGCTTGCACGTAAAATGTTAACCTGCAGAAATAACAAATTCCAAACTCGAGCACAAAAAAATATGATTGTGAACACAAATCAGCACGTTGCAAGGAGATATAACAAAACTGCGAGCCCTGACAGGTCTCACACGCGCAGAACTGACCACAAGCGTGAGTTGAAATCTTCAAGTCAGTTTTGACAGGGGGTGGGGTCCAAATGTGTTAACAAATACTAATGGCTGCTGGCCTTCTCTGAAACTCTTATTTTGATTGCCTGCTTGTATTACATTAAAGGTATACGGTTTCTTATGTCTTAATAGAGTTCGGGATCGTTTTGTCACGTCGCAGTGCATTGTGGGAATCACGGTACGGAAGTAGATGTACTGTATAGTAGGCAGTAGGTAATTGACGCAGCGCATTCAATAAGAGTGAGAGGGAATGTCTCCTCCAGATGTTGCACAATTACAGGACACAAGTGTGGCTGCAAGGATGGATGGGGTGATGACACAACTGCTCCCACTCCCTCCTTTAAATTCATTCATTTAGCAGATGCTTTTAACCAAAGCCATTTACAAAATCAGGAATAACATTCAAGCTACAATGCAGACGGATCAGACTGAAATATTTGAGCTCCAGGCCTATTGTGTTTGACAAAAGCTTTTTTTCTGCACAAATAAATACAGATATTTGCAATAATATTTTACTACGTTGATATTCCACGGTTAGTTATTAAAATATCCCTTTAAATTAGTTCACCGGCCGCCGTCCACCAATCAGACGAGGCCGACGTCACAACCGGAATGATATCAAAATAGGAAGTGAGGCGTCTTGTTTTGGTGAACGGTGGGTTGTGTCTGAGAGGTGAATTTTCATAAATATTATACCGGATTACAGAACTACCGGACGAAAACAGTGTATTATTGCACGTATGATAGGTGAGTAATTACTCCTGAAGTGTAACAAACCCGCATAGACAAGCTTCATAGCTCACCGAATCTGACAAGTGTGTGTGTGTCACTTTTCTCCAAAACTATACAGTAAAATGACATGAAAATGATAAAAGAAATAGCCAGGGTCACTCTGAACAGGAATCATTTGGAAGAATGAGCAAACCTATGAAGGAATACTTTTTATGAATGTTTGAACATGGGACAAGGTGTAAGTACTAGAATGCACTTTGATGTTTAAGGTGCGTTTGCCATTACTTTTCTCCAAAACTAGTAAAATGACTTGAAAATACATACAGTAATAGTGAGAATTAAGAACTCTTTATTTTATATTGCCAACATTGAAGACACCTGCTTAACAAGCAGAATCACTGAAGGAGAAAATTTTAATTTTAAGTGACCATTATGGTGATCAGTGTTTATTTTAGTTGGGCTCTTGACCCTTAAGTCATTAACTTTAAGTTTTGTTTGGCTGCTCTACCTGAGTTATAACAGCCAGATGAACAAATAGAAAAGGTGATCGGATGGTGTTGGTTATGTATTAACATAATCATTATTTCACAATAATTTGACCTGAATCACTGAACTCATGTAGAGCCCAATTGCTGAGTTAGGTTTACTTTATTAATTATAGCAGCACTGTCCTTATACAGTAAAATATTTGTAACTTTTACAATGTAATCCAAATAATTTCAAAAAAGTTTCTCTTATTGTTACGGAATGGTAAAATAGTGAAGCGAGGATTCAAGTGCAGGAGTAAAGGTATTTATTTAATAAAGATACAAAACAAAACTACAAACAAAAACTCCCCATGGGGGAAAACAAGACAGATCTCAGGCAGGCACAGGAAACACAAGGGAAACATAGATAATGAACCAGCACAGGACTGCAAACGCAGGGAGACTAAATACGAAACAAACAAAGGAGGGTAACGAACAAGGCGGGTGGGGCAAATTAATCAATAATCAGGGAACAAGATGGGAGGGGCCAGAAAATTGACAAGATAGCACATGCCACAAGGAATATAAGACAAGCCATGTGATCACAACAAACCAGACTAAACACAAATACATGACAAACCGGGAATGTCAGAGCTCTGTCACCAAACCAGATATAAACCAAACAGATGTGACAGAACCCTGACATTACCCCCCTCCCCTCCAAGGGGACGCCACCTGGCGTTCCCAAATGAGAGACACCAAAAACAGACAGGAACATGACATACAAACGAACATTACAACAGACCAGACAGACAGATCAAAACATTAGGACAAGGAGGGGAGGGAGGGAAGGGAGCCAAGACTGAACCACTCTGAAAGTCCACATAGGCTTTTGCGGATACCAGGCGGGTCTGGACTCCTGGCTGAGAACCAGGACGGTGCCGAGGGGAGAGACCAGGGAAACTCAGGCAGGTCTGGAGCGGCGCCAGCAGGGCGAGACGCTGGGGCGGCGCTGGCAGGGCGAGGCGCTGGGGCGGCGCCGGGAGGGTGAGGCAGTTGGGGATGGCCTCCAGGCCCTGTGGGATCGCAGACGCCTTCCTCCTCGGTTTACGAGGTCGTGGCGGTGCAGCAGCCTCTTTGGCCACCACTGGCGGTGCAACAGGGAGAGTGGACAGCTCTGCAACAACCGAAGTCGGGTCCTCCCGGACCACCGGACTTGAGACCCCAGAAGTCGAGTCCTCCCGGACCACCGGACTCGAGACCCCCGAACTCGGGTCCTCCCGGACCACCAGACTCGAGACCCCCGAACTCGGGTCCTCAAGACCCGCCCACAAAGTTACTTGCGCTTTCGCGCTTGATACTTGCGTTTCAGATCGTTAAAATAGGGCATATTTTTGTGCGCTGTTGCTATTTTACCGGCGGGATAAATGACTCTTGCGCCCGACGCAAGTTTAAAAGGGGTTTGTCTGAAATAGCTTCATTATTCATAGGTGTGGTTTTGGGCGTAACGTGAAATTAACCAATCAGAGCGTCATCCAACATACCCTTTAAGAGCAGGTGCGCATGTTGCATGGCGGATTGCAATTATAACTGTGGATTTACCAGGCACGCGCCAGGAGCGGTTCACAGCCGAGGAGACCGATGTTCTTGTCAGGGCAGTGAAAGAGAGAGAAGTGACGTTGTATGGGGATGGGAGTTTTTTTTTTTTTGGTTGTTGACGGACAAACTAATTTGTCAGATGTCCTTATATACAGTACATGTGTCTTGCCACTATTTGGCAAACAGGTCTGATCCGTCATTACTACAATTTGCCTGAAAAATTTGGGTAAATTTGTAAGCTAGATTTAGGCCTACATTTTTTTACATCTTCATGGACACCACAATGATTTCCCTCATGTGTTAATATTTTTCCTTGTTATAATGTATGATTTGCAAAAATAAAAACTGCTGCATCTGTGTTGTTGAGAGAATCAAAGTGTATGCGCGTTGTGCATCCGCTACATTATGGCCAAGCATGCGCACTTAAAATAGCATAATGAACAACGCGCAACTGACTTTAGACTAGGTTTTTTCTGGTCAGTGGCGGAATTGTTTTCTGGAACTGCTAAATAGCACTAGGGAATGTTTGCGCCGAAACACGCCTCCTTTTTGCGCCGACCCGCCCAGGGAGCACAAGTTCATTCTCTAGTTTACCGACGTGCGTCTGTGGAGAGAAAAGCCCGCTTTGCGCGGGTGCAAAATAGGAATGATACATGCGTCAGTATACAAAGTCATTTGCGGCGGGTGCAAGATAGGGCCCTTTATGAGTTTATTTCAGGTCAAATGATTGCAGACATCCCAAGTCTCCCGGAAGTTCCGGGAGTCTCCCGCATATTGCTAGCGTCTCCCTGATGCCCGCAAATTAGTTCAAATCTCCCGGAATCTAGAGCGAGATAGAACATACTGCGCGCATAACATACATAGCGCGGCGGCGCGTGCATGGCAGAGAGAGTGAGAGACCTTGTGTGCCTCACGAAAGCTAGTCAAGGTAGTTTGTGTAAATTTGACTAATTTTAAATGGTTAACTTTTAAGGAATAAATTTGATTAATTATTACTCAATTCTAATATGTTAAATTTAATGAATAATATTGCTTGTAATCTGTTGCCACAATTGTATTGATTAGATATAGCATAATAATTTTTACAGTGTACAAACATTAAGAACAACAACAAAAATGCTAAATAAATGTAAGATATTAACATTAATATTACGTTTCATTAATATTAATACATAAAGTATAATAATTAATGTATAATATATATAAACATTAAAATTAACAATAAAAATGTTTTAAAAAAAGAATGATGTATGACAATTAACATTAATCTGAACATAAATAAATTATGTAATAATTAATGTAAATCATATATAGGCCTACAAACATTAAAATTATTTAAAAAATATCTAAAAGTCATGTTAAAAAAGAAAAAAGAAAATTATCATGAAATTGTATTATTTGTGTCCTGGATGGAAAATAGCAGAAAATAGAGTCTAAAAATCAATGTTGACCTCATCCAGCACCCATACCGTAAGTACACGATTAGACGCGCATGCTAAAAAAAAAATGTGTGGCTGGCTTAACCGTGTATTTTTTAACGCGCGGCCCGCTTAACCGCAGTGTGACTGTGTGATACAATGCGTATTGGATTCTCGTTTTACAATGCATTCAGGATACCTTTAGAGAAGGAAACGGCAATTAATAGAGATTTAATTGTTATACCAATGCTGCTGAAGCAATACTCTTCAAATGATTCCTTGTATGTGATATTTCAGATTTGTTGAG